TTCACTGTCAAACTGTAGTGTTTAGAAATGACTCAACATTACACCATGTGTCAAAATATATACATTAATCCAACAAGGAAACATACTATGGCATAAATAGTTTGGACTAGCATATTAGCTTCCCAACACAGATTAACATATAACATAAGATTATGCAAATATATGCATTAAAGGTGAAATACAACATTACAGATATTGTTACAACAGTATTAACATAAGTATTACCCATATTTTTGGTGGGAATCAGTAAATAAACTTACTTTCTTGGCATGAACGCACACAGGATAGATGTTTGCCTTCTCACCGTGCCTCACAAGTGATTTTTGCCATGTGCTTGCTCTTGAAAGCGAAAGTAGTGAATGTCGGTCAAATTAGAGAGGTGCGCCATCTAGGGTATACTCATAAGAACTGTAACCCTGTATAGGACTTTCCTACAGTCGGCTTGGTAGCTTTTTTACAAGTGTGGAGTCCCGTGAAGGAGCTCCGGATGGAAACTTTAGTTCTGTGTTTACCTCATAGTTAAAGTTGTTGCATGTCCGCCGGTTCCTGCCTCAAAATGAGCGAGTTTGAGCCACTTCTACATTCAGAAAACATTTAGAAATAGCAAAACAGCAGCAAAGAAACTCGACACAGAGGAACATTTACACCTCACTGCCAACTAGAGTTTCGGAAGTGTTAATGCAGACCCACAGAGACAGCAGCAGCAGTATAAATGCACAGCTACGCATGTTGCATACGCCGTGGGTCACGCCGGTCACTTGACGCAGAAGTATAAACCAGGCTGGTGTGGGCGTCAAGTTGAAATCAAGTTAACTTTAAGGTAATGAGCTATGATGCAGTTCGGCAGAGATTAATCAGAATGAAGTCAAATGAAGTCCAGCGCTTGAGAGGAGTTCTGTTAACTTTGGTTCTGACCACAGTTGTTCCCAAGGGTTTGATTATTGCGGTCCTCAGATTTCCAATTATTTGCAATGTTTTTTTACAGGAACATGAATTAAACAAGTTACTGGTGTGCATTAATGTTATATATATATATATATATTTACCTTTAAAAAAGTGGGAATCTCATGCGACAGAACAAAACAGAACTGCTGCTTCAGGATATTTCAGCAACATGGACACATACTGGATAATGAAGTGGAGCAAAGCCACACCACACGCAACTCCATCTTCAATTGTAAAAGGAATTGATTAAGAAGTGTGCAACATTTTCACGCTAGAGAGCATGTGTTCTGCAGGAATGCAACTGATATGATATGCTGCAATGGCCATTTTAGACATGAGATTAATGTAGCGAATTCTGACGCTCGTCGCCGGAGCTGAAGGCACACAGCGTTGTCACCAGGGCGGCCAGAGCGACTTTGGACCTTTCGCTGTGGATGTACAGCAAAGGTGCTCTAGCGACAGACGCTAGCAGCCATGGTCTTTAGCCTCCTTGTTAGAGCAACCGACTCCCATGCGGATGGTCGCTGGTACGATCCCAGCTCAGAGTGGGTTGGGTGTTGTAGGACCAGCAGGGTTACACAAACATGGCATGAGAAACATCCATTATCAACATGGGTAGGAAGGAATGAACAATGAGATAACTCCCTTCAAACAAGCAGATTTAATCGCCAAGACGTGTTTAGTGTTTTTTGTCCACCATGAGCTCAAGGACCACAATTAATTTATCTATGTGTACCTGGGCTACCTTGCTGACTAGTTTATGGTAGAGAACTAGACCATATATGCCTGGGCAACCTTGCTGAATGGCTTCACACTAGTGAACTAGACTATATGAGAGGATCGGCTACTGTGCCAACACTAGTGAACTAGATGATGTGAGCCTGGGCTACCCTTGCCCACTGCTTAGCATACACCCCACAGTATGTGTTCAGTATGTGGTCAGAGACCACCTGAGGAGTGTTAATAAATGATGGATATATCATTACCATATCCGGTACAGGGTTTCTCACATTGCAAGAAAAACTAAAGAGTCTGAAATACACTAAAACTGCTCAGAATTATCAAAAGTAAACTGAAGTGTGCCGTGTTTTTACTTTAAAACAAGTGTACTGATGACACACTTCAATACTCTTCTGAAAGGAGCAGGTCTTCATACATCACCCGCTGGGATGTTATTATTCATACTATACACTTCTGTGTTGATTCCCTTTGCTTTACATCCCTGCCCTTGAGTCTTTCAGGACTTTAATATTATTAATTTGTTTATTTAAAACAACAGACAGAAATGTCCTGGATGTAGATAGATTTTAATAAAACATACACAAACATGTAAATATAGGCATAATCTAACTGTATACCAAAGTGAAAGAAAGAGAATCCCTCAGGTCACACGAGAATGTAAGAAAAGTGAAGATAAAAGCAGCGCTGGATACAGGCTAATCACTACTGTCTGAGTCAGCAAAGCAAGAAGAAGAAGAAGAAGAAGAAGAAGAAGAAGAAGAAGGAGAAGAAGACTTTCACATCACAGCATTCCCACACAGAGAAAACACTCCTCAGAGAAGACTACGTACAGGAGGAAACAAGGTGTGTGTGTGTCTGTGCGTGTGTGTGTGTGTGTGTGTGTGTGTATGTGTGTATGTGTGTGTGTGTTTGATGTCCATGATCATGCACGCGCTACAGAGCGGTCTTTGGTGGAGTGCTGAATGACTGAACATGGAGAAGTATTGCACTGTAGCGTCTTCAACATGGTCAAACTACGGTAAAACCCAGCCACTACTAACCCAGCGTGACATGCAGTGGACACGAGAGAGCGACAGATCCACACAACATCATCTCCTCCAGTCAAAGTGTAACTCTGGTTCAGATATTCCCACCAGAGCAGGATCCTTTTCTCTAGGATGTGTGTATTCATGCTTTAGTCTGGCTCTGATGGCTCTGTAAAAGCTTGTGTAGGTGAAGTTTGAACATTTGTAGAGAGATTGTAAGCTCAGTATTATTAGCCTCTTTTAATTGGCTACAGAACAAACCGCTGTTGTCCAGTGACTCGCCTGATTAACATTACTCACACAGTTAAGCCTTGGAATGGCCATGAGTTTCCTATATTGTGATGTAAAGCTGATTGAAACGCTTCTGAAATTAGAAAAGGTTTTAGTTCTGTATTATGATTTAGTTCTTTAGGAACCTATAGGATCCATGGAAGATGGCTGCTGCTAACAAAATAAGATTGACGAGCACTCACTTCATCGACAACACCTCACTTCATTTTCATAACCGGTCTCTTTCGTTTTCACATTGGGGTTGAGGGCGGCGTGATCGTCCTCTGCCTAGAGCGGCAGTTCAGCTTGCTCCGGCCCTGTTGACAAAGACAGGGCAGAAATGAGACATGGGCAGATAGCCCCACCCAATATGAAGGATAGCCACGCCCTAAAATAGTGCTCGCCAACCTCTTTATCACCTCAGACCGGTCAACACGTGACCAGTTTACCACGGACCAGGGGTCAAGGTTCATAGATTGCTAGGTGAGCATCAACCATTTCCTCAGAGGATGACAAGCTGACAAAACATGGCCGTCACTCTGACACAAGTCTCAGTTATGGAGAAAATGACAACGCACCGCAGTGTTGGTGTGTGTCTGAGATCATTAGTCCACTGAAATGTGGATATTCCACACTAGCTGAAGCTGATCGCTCAGTTCTCGTCATGTGGCAGAGGAGTCCCAGCATTCAAGAGTTCCCACTGAGATATGCTTAGCGCTAACAGCAGGTTTGGCATGCTGTCCCAGGAGAAAACCCTGAGCTCAGAGTTACTTTAGCCAAGGCTTCCACCTGGTCAATGAGCATATAAGGAGATCAGGGAGGTCTCGAGAGCTCCCCCTTAGAAAAGGGAGGAGAAGGAGGAGATGGGGTGGAAGGGGGGATTCTTCCAAAGCAAAGACAGAGCAGCAGGGAGAAAACCATCTAATCAGTGTGAGTTTTTATATCACTGTGATTGGATTAATAGTGAATACAGATGAGCAGTCAGTCGTGCTCAATCATATCACATTCTCCTCTCGAAATTAGTTAATGAAACTTCACTTGATTCTGCTGGGTGCATCTGAAAGGTGTGACCGCCTCACGCCACTTACATGCACAAGCCGCACACCTCCATTACAAATAACGAGCCTGCGTGAACTCTAGAAAAGACGTGATATGCGGACATCAGCTGTGATCTCCAGCAGTTGATCTTCTTGCACAGACATGCTGGATTCACCTGATGTGTTGACAGATGGGTTGCGGATCCATTCCTTGGCAGTTTGCGGGTCCTTCACCGGACCTTTGCCCCTTAGCAAAGAAACTTTCCAAACACGTCTGTTTCTTACTCATTTTGCTGCTCGTAGGTTAATTTTGGCATTCAAATGAGCGAGATGTAGCTGAGAGAATACACTCATTCTTCAAAATAAAAGCTCGTTCAGACTCTGATCATAAACGAAACTGAAATAATCAATGATTTCTTGTGTGGCCCGTACCAATTGGCCTGGGGGTGGGGGACCACTGCCCTAAAGCAGGGATTTTCAAACTGTGGGGCGCGCCTCACCAGGAGGGTGCCAACACCTATTAAAGGGAGCCGAGAATTTGAGGTGTGCACTTGGAGACGGGGTGTCCAAACAGGCTGAAAACCCCCGCCCTAAAGGACTGATAGCCCCACCATAAATAGCTGATAGCTCCGCCCTAAAGGACTGATAGCTCCGCCTCACAGGACTGATAGCTCCGCCCCAAAGGACTGATAGCTCTGCCCCAAAGGACTGATAGCTCCGCCCTAAAGGACTAACAGCTCTGCCCCAAAGGACTGATAGCTCCGCCCTAAAGGACTGATAGCTCCGCCCCAAAGGACTGATAGCTCCGCCATAAAGCACTGATAGCTCCGCCCCAATGGACTGATAGCTCCGCCTTAAAGGACTGATAGCTCCGCCCCAAAGGACTGATAGCTCCGCCTTAAAGGACTGATACCCCTGCGACCAAAAGTGAGGACAGTGTTTCGATGAGGAGTGAAGGTTATGATCATTGATTAAAGATTATGAAGGCAAATACATTTCTACTGAATAATAAAATGCACAGACACACGGCATATAACGAGCACTATTATATACATATACAGATAAGAAGAGCGGGTTATGCTATCATGACGACTTTAAACTGAACACTAGTAGAAGACAAATGACTTATTAAAAGCCACGATGTGTTGGAAAAGTCCCTCTGCTGAACAGCTCTGGGGAAATAAGTGAACAGAAGTAAACTTCGACTGTAGGGCAGATGCTGTGTGTGTGTGTGTGTGTGTGTGTGTGTGTGTGTTGAGTTCAGGAGTATGAGGGCAGTGCGCTGTGTACAGGCAGTGTGAGCGCTCTGGCCGGGCCGCCATCAGGACACGAGGAGCTCTGGGAAAACACCTCAGCGGACACCAGCGCCAGCGGCGGAGGAGTCTTCGGGAAGCCGCTCAGCAGGAACGGCGGAGCCTGCAGCAACATCTTTGGTGATCTGGACAAGAGAGAGGAAAAACAGACAGGATTTCAGGACAAACGCAGTCTCGATCTATTCACACACACTGAAAACAGACAATGTCACGGCTGAACAGTGTTAGAGAAACACATGACAGCTGACGCCAGTGACACATTATTAAGAGTTCCCTGCGCTGGTCTCTATTAGGAGACACAATGCGGAGAGCAACCCTGTCTTAAAACCTCCTGAAGCACAGCTCAAATCAATCCAATGTGATTGGAGAAGCCCTGCGCTCTGCTTGATCAATGTCGTGGAGATCGCAGCTCGATCTGGAAGAGAGGATGGAGACAAGCTTCTTCTCCTCCTTCTACTGTCAGATCGGGGTCCAGTCAGCGCGAGTTGGAAGCCCGTTCATTGGCTTCTCCCTCTCGTGCTGACGGGCGGCTGCTCCACCTCTCAGCTTCAAGAGTATGGAAGGTCATCGGGGCCAAAATGACGTTTCCCCATTATGCCCTGAATATGATGAGCTGGCAGAGGTCCCGGCCAATGTTACCCGAAAATACAATATAAATCGGGAAGTGGAGAGGCAGGAAGTGTGTCAGAAATCTGGCTTGTGTGACTAAATAACTAAAATAAGGTGGCGCAGTGGGTAGCATAATTGCCTCACAGCAAGAAGGTCTCTGGTTCAAGCCTCAGCTGGGTCAGTTGGTGTTTCTGTGTGGAGTTTGCATGTTCTCCCCGTGTTGGCGTGGGTTTCCTCCGGGTGCTCCGGTTTCCCCCACAGTCCAAACACATGCGCTATAGGGGAACTGATCAACTACACTGGCCATAGTGTATGAGTGTGTGTGTGAATGAGTGTGTATGGGTGTTTCCCATTGATGGGTTGCAGCCGTTAGGGCATCCACTGTGTAATACATATGCTGGAATAGTTAGTGGTTCATTCCTCTGTGATGACCCCTAATAAATAAGGGACTAAGCTGAAGGAAGATGAATGAATGAATGCTGTGAGGGCCGGGTTTAGGGCCAGAGAACCTGCAGTGTTACTGTATACATCACGCTTACGGAGAGTCCCTGTAAACCATGTACACAGGTGTGTGTGTGTGTGTGTGTGAGGGATGCAGTGTGTAAGTGTGTGTGTGTTTACTCCGTGCTCTGCTCCTCTTTGAGTGTGTTCTCTGCAGTGGTGGTGGCTGCAGGTTTGTTGATGATGCTGTAGGGGAACGCGGCGGCGCTGCAGGAGCTGTAGGCCACTTTACTGAGCCGCGGCTGACCCTTAATGCTGCCCGGGGGCCGCCCGGGGCTCACTTTATACCCCGCTGCCTTGGTGGTTCCCAGGGGCCGTCCTGGACTGGTCTTGAAGCCTGCAGCCTTGGTGGTGCCCAGCGGTCTGCCGGTGCTGGTTCTGTATCCGGCAAGTTTGGTGGTCCCTGTGGGCCGGCCACGCTTCCCTGACCGCCCTGACGCCGCCTTCTTCTTGGAATCGGAGCTCTTGTTGGTCCCAGGAGCGCTGGCGGGCCCCTGCGGCAGGAGTGGCTCCTGACGGCATGATGCAACTTTCAGGAGCCCCGGGGCTGGCGGGGGCAGGTACGAGAAGCAGGTCTGACGGGGACGCGCAGCGCTGGCGGACTGGAAGAACTTAGTGGGACACAGATCAAAGTGACTAGGAGACAAGCGCTCGTCCTCTGCTAGACACGACGCTCTGCTGTCCATACAGTACTCACTGCTGCCCACACCACTGCCGCCGCCGCTGCTGGACACCGGACGCATCATCATCTGTGAACACACACACACACACACGTTCTGTCAGGTCTAGACTGGCCTGATGAAACAGCTCTGCAGGTGCAGACTACTTCCTGTTGTGTGCTAGTGCACTGTTTACATCAAACCCGGACAGCATGTACAGCACTCACTCTAGAACATGCGCACCACATCACCTGCTCTAGAACACACATATCCTGCACGCCAGTTGCTCTAGATCAGAGGTCACCAATCTTGTTCCTGGAGGTCCGGTACCCTGCAGGGTTTAGCTCCAACTTGCCTCAACACACCTGCCTAGGTGTTTCAGTGTTACATTTGGAGGACAAAGGGGGAAAGCGCACAAGCCTAGGAACACCCTCCCAACTGTGCAGTATGGGGGCGGCAGTGTCAAGTTGTGGGGCTGTTTGTGGGACTGGTCCACTTCACAGCATAGATGGCATCATGAAGACAGAACATTATGGAGAAATACTGAAGCAACATCTCAACACATCAGCCAGGACATTACAACTTGGCCACAAATGGCTCTTCCAAACAGACCATGACCCTAAACACACTGCCAAATGAGGTCAAATGTGCTTTAAGGACAGCAGAGTGAATGTTTTGGAGTGGCCATCACAAAGCCCTGATCTCAATCCTATAGAGAATGTGTGGGCAGAGTTGAAGAAGCTTGTGTGAGCAAGACAGCCTACAAATCTGACTCAGTTACAGCAATTCTGCAGGAGGAATGGGCCAAAACTCCTGCAAACTATTGAGAGAAGCTTGTGGGGAGAGACAAAAAAATTCTAACCAAAATTATACAGTTTAAAAGTAAAGCTAATAATACCAAGTAAATGTGTGTACACTTCTGACTGTCTAGAAATGAATAAACAATTCTCTCATTATTCTGGCATTTAGCAAATGTAAATCATTTAGGGAATCCTGACAGACCTAAAGCAGTAAACATTTAGTATCATCTACCATTTCATTTTTTTAATGGTTATGTTCCTTTTTTTGAGTGTATGTTTAGTTTATTTTTCTAAATGCTCGTGCCCCATTCCTTGAATTGCTTAGGGCCACCAAATCACGAAGTCCCCCCTGGTTTTAGAGCAGCTGATGTGATGTGTATTATCTGAACACATTCTGTCTGTTCTGGAGCAGGTGATGTGATGTGATGTGATGTGATGTGATGTGATGTGATGTGATGTGATGTGTATGCTCTGCAGCATGATCTACAGCACGTGATTATTGATTCTATTCTGATCATTGTTGAATTAGACATGTTCATCTCATTCTTCACTGTAGATCAGAGGACAGAGCTCCTCATCTGCCTGAACAGCACAGTTCCTGCAGTGTGTCAGAACACTTTCACCAGTCAACATGTGGAGAAAAGGAAACACTGATGGAGCAGTAATGCCCTGTGCTGGAGATGAGAGATCACCTGTTCTCAAACAGATCAGCTCATTCACAATCTACAGTCAGGGGTATAGCTCAGCTTCCTCTGTGTGCACACGGCATTATGGTCTGTAGACCTGTGTGTGTGTGTGTGTGTGTGTGTGTGTGTGTGTACAGTAACCTACTGAGCATTGTGAACAGGATCAGAGTGTACTGTAAAGATCATGCATCAGTGAGTGTAAATGAGCATGCACGCACACACACACACACACACACACACACACACACACAGCTGTAAACGCGCTCTGCTGTCTCTACTGTACACAAAGCCTCTTTTGTCCTCTGCATCTGATTCAGACACACAGTGAAACACACACACACACACACACACTCGTCTGCTCACACTAACACACTCGGCCCATGCAGACTGCTGAAAACGAGAGAGAGAAGGACTGTACCTCGCTTTAATGTCGCCAGCGGGACGAGAAGGGTTAAATCTGACATTTTTGTCCCATTTTGGTGTGAAGGATGAATTTGGACTGATTAGGAGCGAAGTTTATCGAATCAGATCGAGGAGGCTGGCGTCCAGCTCGATGGTCAGAACAGATGTCAAAGCGTTCTTCGGGTTTTTGGCAGATGCTTTAGAAATGCACGGCGGACACTGATATTAAATATTAAGAAATCAAAAGGCAAACTGCGCATGCGCATTAAGTGCTCCGCTCGGCAGATGGGGCTGCGCTGAATGTGCTGGGGTGTAATCTATCCGTATCCTCTGTTTAAAACATCGTTTGATGTATGTTTTTAATATTTAGCGTTTATAAACGTCTGTCAGGCTATTCAGCTGCATATTTACTGCTCACGACGATGCAGAAGAGAAGCGAAGGGCTGCGGTCACTGGGTGTGTGTTACTGTACTCAGCGCTGGTCTGAACGGACCAATCACAGCCGCCTGCGATTACTGGATCTAGCGGAGAACAGACTCGACGGGGCGGATTTCTGTTTAATTGACAGGTGCCAATCACCGAACTTCAGCAATCAACTTACTTTTGTAAATCAAATGACTTTGTGTATTATTCTTACGTCTCGAGTAATTTAAAGAGCTGAATGACTGCTTTAGTGTTCAATGAACAGAAACATCTTGAAAAAAAGAAGCACAATGTACACGTCCCTCTTCCACACATCAGATATACAAGTATAAATATAACACAACTCCTCACGCCAATGTTCCTCAGAGATGTTTCCACTAATCTACTAAGTTTAAATTAATACATTCTCTAATAAACACATTGTAGTTGAACAGGGTGTGGCCATCATGACGGCACTTCTGATTGGGTCTACAAGGACTCTGGCTCCAAATGACATCATCAGAACAAGATGGCAGCAGCTATACATGGCACAGTTTGGCTTCACTTTACTAAAGGCGGATTTAAACCCCTGCACCAAGCACACACATATGGTCCAGTGCGGTCACAGAACCCTGGCCATGGCTGATGCTGACGCACACCTCTCAAAGTGTAACTACACATCGCAACGACGATTACCGCAAGCTCAGTGATTGGTCAGCTTGGTAGCTGTGCGAGCGGTGCTGAGAGCCGCAAACCTGTTGGAGTGAGTGTTTACAAGTGTCGAGTCCCATAAAGTAGCTCTAGATCAGTGGTCACCAATCTCGTTCCTGGAGGTCCAGTGCCCTGCAGGGTTTAGCTCCAACTTGCCTCAACACACCTGCCTGGATGTGTTTCAAATATACCTAGCAGACCTTGATTAGCTTGTTCAGGTGTGTTTGATTAGGGTTGGAGCTAAAATCTGGAGGACCCCGGACCTCCAGGAACAAGTTTGGTGACCCCTGCTCTGGATGGAGACTGTTGTTTTGTGTTTACCTCATGATTAAAGCATGTCCGCCAGTTCCTCCTCTGAATAGGCGAGTTTGAGCTACTTGCATTTAGAAAAACAAAACACCCACGAAGAAACTCAACACAGAGGAACAAACACCTACTGCCCCCTAGTGTCTAGAAGAGTTATTGCAGAGCAACAAAAACAGCAGCAGAAGTATAAATGCAGTTCATGCATGTGGGTCACAGCGATAGTGTAAACCAGCCTCAAATTAGAAGGAAGTTGGAAAAAATAAAATAAATATGTAAATAAAACTGAAAGAGAAAGTTAATCTCAATAGCCAACATTAGCATAATAATGAAACGTCTAACTTGTTCCTGTTCATTCTGCTTATTCTCCTGCTCATGAGGCCTGTGAACTCCTCCGCATAACACAGATACAGAGTTCTTATGAGTTACTGATTAAAAGCAGAGAGACTATGGGCCGGTACGGTGGAGACGGACATGACAGACGCAGCAGAGAGACACAAGAAAAAAAACATTTATTTCCAAATGAGTTTACAATCTAGTAAGATGGAATTTAAAATATTCAGAGTGATGGACGCACACTACACGAAACAATGAGTAAAAAAACTAAACTTCAGGATCAGGCGTCTGATCAGCTCATAGCAGAGAGCCAGAGGAGCGTCTGCATCCACCGCCGCTCTACAGGACCTTGTATCGGCCTTTGCTGGTCGGCTGGTAAGAGTTTTGCTGGAACAACAGAGAGAAAAACACAGTGAGAAGAACAGAAGAGCTCTCGCTTTCATGTGCTGCGATTCAACAAATCAGGCGAACTCTGCTGAATAAAGCTGTATTTTGAACTCTGCTGAAGGTTAAACATTGGCATTGTGTTACCAATAAAATAAATAGAAACTTGCCATATTTCAGTCACTTTATGCAACAAAATTAGCACTTAATTGCATAATTGATTATTTTTTAACTAAAACCTCAACCTGGAAGGAAACCTGTTAAAGTTCCTTTGACTGTATTTGAGCATTTGTGAGTTGCACATTTTAATGCAACAACAGTAATAATAATGAGACCATTTCAGACTAAACCAATCAATCATGTTCATTACAGACAAAAACACTGGGCTAAATTGAGATTACGCTGATGTGTAATGCTTTCACAAGAAGTGTACACACTACATACACACTGGCTCCAAAATGAACGGCACCAAGCGGCTGACAGTTTAAAATGGCCGAACATCTGAGTGTGTTTCCAAAACCCCTTCCTAAGACCCTGCAGTTGTAGGATTTCTCTGTGAACTGACTGTATACTGAGGATTACTTTCAGCTGAGGAGCATACGTGTGTGTGTGTGTGTGTGTGTAATCTGCACAGAGAATTTGAGGATGTGTGTGTGTTGGTGAACGCACCAGGCGGATGAGCTCCTCTTTGATGAGCCGTGTGATTTCTGCCTTCGCCTTCTGAACAGCCAATTCATTCGCACCTGCAAACCAACACAAGAGATCAGCTTCTACATTTCCCAGCATCACACACACACACACACACACACACACACACACACACACACACACACACACACACTTACTCTCGATGGCCAGATAAATCTTGCGTTCTCCCTCTTTGGGCTCTTTTCCTGGAGGGAAGTATGTTCCTCGTATAGTGATAGCGGCCTCTGAATACTCGCCGATTCGCTGCAGAGCTTCTTTAGACGTGACCTTCCACCTCGCCGTCTGAAAACCGAGATACAGCGGTCAGTGTAAACACCCTACAGACTCCTCTAAGACTGTAAAACACACTACAGACTGTGACAGTAAAGACTCTACAAACTCCTCTAAGACTGTAAACACACTACAGACACTTCAAAAACTAAAGACTCATCTAGAGCTAATGACTCTACTGACTCCTCTAAGACTCTACAGACATCTCTAAGAGTGTAAAGACTCCTCTAAGACTCTACAGACTCCTCTAAGATTGTAAAGACTCCTCTAGGACAGTAAAGACTCCTCTAGGACAGTAAAGACTCCTCTAGGACAGTAAATACTCCTCTAGGACAGTAAAGACTCCTCTAAGACTGTAAAGACTCCTCTAGGACAGTAAAGACTCCTCTAGGATAGTAAAGACTCCTCTAGGACAGTAAAGACTCCTCTAGGACAGTAAAGACTCCTTTAGGACAGTAAAGACTCCTTTAAGACTGTAAAGACTCCTCTAGGACAGTAAAGACTCCTCTAGGACAGTAAAGACTCCTTTAGGACAGTAAAGACTCCTTTAAGACTGTAAAGACTCCTCTAGGACAGTAAAGACTCCTCTAAGACAGTAAAGACTCCTCTAGGACAGTAAAGACTCCTCTAAGACTGTAAAGACTCCTCTAGGACAGTAAAGACTCCTCTAGGACAGTAAAGACTCCTCTAGGATGGTAATGTGCGTCAGTGTTTGACCTGTGGGAAGTCGTTGATCTCCAGCTCCTCTTCGTATCTCTTGACGGTCTCTGCAGCCTCCGCCGCCTGTCTCTCCTCCTCCAGCTTCTCCACCGGTGTGTAGTTCAGTTTGGCGTTGATTTTCTCCGCCTGCTGCTCCGCGATGGTTTTAGCCGAAACTGAAGGTGCGATTATCGTACCGCCGCGCAGAATGGCATTCGTGGCCTGCTGCATCACATCCTGAAACCAGCGCAACAGCGTCAACATCAGCACACAAGCGATCAGGCCAACACATGCTGAGTGTAGTTTCAGATAAAGCCCATGTGTGTGTGTGTGTGTGTGTGTGTGTGTGTGTTCTGACCTGCGCCTCTGCACCGAGGTTCTTCTGCGCCTGTATCCTGAGCGCCAGCTTCTTGGCGATCTCCAGCTTCTGGATGTTTCCGGCAGACGGAGTGCTCAGACTGCCCAGGCCGGACACTGCAGACACGGAGCCGCTCACACCACCTGCAGACCCCGCAGACACGGAGCCCGGAGCCGAGAAATCCTTCACCCGCTTCTTAGAGTTAAACATGCTCTCGATCTGCTCATCGATCTGTCAGAGAACACACACACACACACACCGTCAGACACACAGTCTCACACACACCATATAGACAGTCACAGAAACAGTGTAACACACACCCCATCAAACGCACACAGACTCCATTATACAGACAGTCACACCCAGTCAAACACACACCGTTATACAGACAGTGCCACACACACACACACACACACACACGGAGACTCACGTCGAGCGCGGTGTCCTCATCATCAGAGTCGTGCAGGCCGAGCGCCGCCTTCTGCAGCTTCTTCCTCTCGTTGGCCAGAGCATGCTCAGTCTCATCAAACTTAAAGCCTTTCCCAGAGAAGCCACTGCTGCTCTTGATGATCTTCCCCTCCTGACGAAACACACACACACACACACACACACACACACAGAAAACAAACACACACACATCAGTAAACACCTTCACTAAAACTGGTCAAGTGCATCATGCTGTCCTCCAGCGTCTACAGGCGTGTCCTGCATGCATGTATGTAAATGAGCGCATGTTTAATTAGGCAGCGCATGTTTAAACGAGTAACAGAAAGCAGACGGTGTTCTCTCCATCAGTGGTGCTGTGCTCTGTGTTGAGCTGTGCTGATGCTGCTGTTCTCTTACTGCTTTCTGCTGCTCTTTAAAGTTTGTCCAGAGCTGCTCGAGCTCCGCGGGGACGGACGATCCCGACAGCTCCAGAGCCTTCAGGATATCTCCAGAGTATCGGGCCTGGCCCTCTGTGATGAAGGTGTAGGCATAACCCTGAACACACACACACACACACACACACACACATCAGCAGCAGGAACACATGCGTGTGTGTTTG